TTAGTATCAAACCCAGTGTTGATTCCTTGGCAACTGCATGGTTAAATTCATGCAAGTTTCTTGACAACATTTTCAGAAATGTTTTACATTTGCTATCCTTACATCAATGATAGGCAACTAGGGCCCCTTTATGGCCTTTGGACTTCAACTCCCAGAATTCCAGAACTGATTTTTAGCCACTTTTAGCCACTATAAGGAGTTGTGCAGTGGCCTAGAGGTGGAGCTCTCACCTCACGATCAGGAGGCTGTGAGTTCAATCCAAGGAAGTGGCAGATATTTCTCTCTCAGTAATTATCTGCTGTGAACTCTGTATTGGCAACAGGAAGGGCATCCGGCCAGGAAACACTCTGCTCCATGCAGTTGCCCCGACTCTACCTCAGTGCAAGGGATTACAGGATCATTAGAAGAACCCCCTTCCCCCAAAAAACTTTTAGCCACTACTTCAGAAGGGCTATCATGTTTAGTATAAATCTATTTAAAACTGTTAAATATCTTAAAATAATTATTGAGAACTTTAAAAATTGCCAGCATATTCAATCCTTAGTAACTCATACATTCAACTTTCATGTGCCTAAACTTTGTTTTCTTGTTTTAATTAATTTTAGTGTTTTTCTTTCTAAAGATTCCTCTTAAGGATTGCTTTTATTTATTTATCTTACTTGATGAAAAAATTGCACTGGAGAAATATTTACCTCTATAACTTATTACTTGGTCACTCTGCCTTGAATACGTTTACATGTAATATTTACATAGGTAAACCTATAGATCTATTTTTGAAGATCATATACGATAATTCCTTTAGAAAGTGACCTAGCTCACTTTCATAAAATAACTGCTTAAATATTTGCTATTGCAGCTTTAGCTTTATCGCAGCTCTTTCTTTTGTTTACCTGTCCTCTCCTGGGCTGTGAAATGGAGAGATAAGGAAATTCCTATACTGATCTTTCAAGTTGTTTGTGCGGTTACATTGTCAGGAATGCTAAAATGGTTTGGTTTTAGTACAAGATATTCTTAACAGTATACAAAGTTACTTGCAAAAATTAGGAAAGTCTAGTGATCTTGTAGAGGGGGGGTATATATTAAATACAAATTAAATTATAGTAATTAGTAACTACTGAATATTTTCGAAGGTATTTCTGGATGTATGTAAAATTTAGGAAAGGATGTGATTGGCAATATTTAGCAAAGAATACAATAATGCCACTGCAGTGTTACATTACTTTCTTTCAGCTCTTCCTAATTGCTAAATGAATTTGATAATACAACAGAATTCCTAGTATCAGATATTCTCATGCGGAATTCAGTATCAGGATAATGCCACAGAACTGCATTTCTTATATTCAGTGTTTGGGTAAACCATGAGTTAGTCGGATGAATTTTGGTTATGTGCCTTCAAAGCAGGCCTCCATTATTAGCTTAGATTAAGACTCAGTTGGAACTTTTCAAAAATGCTGTTTGCTTTATATATTTTAGTTCTGCAGTATGCAAATAAAATATTGATTACAAGAACATGGCTGGCCATTAATAAAACATATTAGCTTCAGCACTCTAAAGAAAACTGTGGTTTCTGAATGACCTTGTTCTGCAGCTGGTACTGGGGAACACGAGAATGAAGTGTATTCATGAGAAATTGACAGAAAATATGGCAAAATAACAGGGGATCTTAATATAGTAACCACATTCAGCTGATGACTAGCATTTTATATGCCCATTTCTCTTTCTTCATTTTATAAAACTGAAACTGCATATAAGTTGATTTATTTGTGAATAGTGAATAAAATCCAGTTGGCGCTTACACGAACACTATTTTGATGTAAGATTCAAAGCGTCTGCAAATTTATTTTATCTTCTCCATTTGCTGATCTTCTGCTTGTAAATCTTGTTGAAGGAGAATAAAAATGACTGCTGCCTGATGGGAATTAAATGTCTGAAGTTCAAAGCGCTTTGCACATCAGAGCAAACGTCAATCAAATGAACATCTTGCAAGCTAGGCAGGGAGCGAATTTCTCCATGGGGAAGAGATCAAAGGGGGAGTCACAGTTCTGTTTCCCCCCCTCGGGATGCAGTTTCGACCAGTTGTTCATTAAAGTGAATCCAGAAGGAAGAGTTTTCATATACTATAGTATAGAGAAAGAAAAGTAGAAGAGAAGACAATTTGGGGTGGAGCTGGATGTTTTTTCCTCTTGAAGCCAACATTAAGCATCATTTCAAATTGCACAGACTCTTTACCACCAACACATCCTCTCCCATTGTTTTAAAAAGGTACATGTTGAATTTTTACTAATAACTTTCTGTGATAAATCTATATTTTATGAATGAACAGAGAATAACTCCTTCATCAGTCTACATTCTACATTTAAATGCTGTAGATTGAGAATAGATTGCATGTTGATGCAATAAACATACACTTATTATATAAACACTTTTTAGGGTTTGTAAATAAACCACCTTTCAGGACAAAAGATATACTTAATTATTCATTCAGGTTTTAGCCAGAGGTGTTAAACAGTTTACAGTTTAGTAAATATGATATAGTAGCTTGATGAGTTATACTCTAGATTTCCTTTTAGTAAGAACAGTTTTGGGGATGCAAAAAAGTTCCTAGAGGAATCTCCAGCACATCATGCTAACTGTTAAGGGAACATTTAATCCCAACAAGATAAATTTGATTTAACTCTAAGTAAACTTGAGTAGGCTGAGGAATGCATGGCTCATTTTTATTCAGTCAGTTCTTACATGAATATAACCATAATAACGTTGGAATGTGCAAATAGATCACTGAGAGTTTATTATCTGCAAAGTGATATTGTAAAAGAAAAAAAAAATTCATTAAATGTATATGCTGCCCACCTTAGCATTTCCTTCCTTCTTTGTAATATCATTTGAAGATGAATAAATGTATAAAAGTCTGGAAATATTTATGATTTTATTCTGTTGTCAGCATATTCTTTCTCCATTCCTCATGGACTGTATGTCTTCCTTGCTGTTCCAAACATTCATGCATACAGTAGTGGGATTCAAAAAATTTTACGACTAGTTCTGTGGGCGTGGCTTGGTGAATGTGGCGTGGCTTGGTGGGCATGGCAGGGGAAGGATACTGTAAAATCTCCATTCCCACCCCACTCCAGGGGGAGGATACTGCAAAATCCCATTCCCTCCCTACTCCACTAACCTGCCTTCCAGCTCCGTTCTCCTGTGCAGGCAACAAAAGAAGACCCAGCCGATCAGCTGGGACTTGGGATGCAGAGAATAGATGGGGGTGGGGCCAGTCAGAGGTGGTATTTGACGGTTCTCCGAACTACTCAAAATTTGCGCTACTGGTTCTCCCTAGCTGGTCAGAACCTGCTGAATACCACCTCTGCATGCATACCATTTCTGCACATCCATTTTGGTATGTGTTTTTGTTATAACACCACATAAAAGCCACCACCATGCTCTCTCATCCATACCCACCAAAAGATGTAAACCTGCTCTTTATTTTGGGTGTGTGTGGGGGGAAATCTTTCTCTCCAAAGAAGATTTTAGGTTTGATCTGGGCAAAGCATGGATGCTGGGTTGTTGTTGTTGTTTTTTTGTATCAGGGATGAAATAATAAAACCCCTCTTATTTTTCCAATTTGCTTGTTCTCCTATAGGCTGCAACTTTCAGTTGAAAGACCTTTCCCAACAGAGACTTGTAGATAAGGAGTCTAGAAATCTCTGTAAATGCCAAAGAGTCTTGTACCTCTCATACTATGACCTAAATCTGGATTTGATGCTTTGGTTGCAACTTGCTACACATCTCTGCTAGTAAAAGAAGAAATACCTTCCTCTGAAGAAGGAAAATTTGGGTCAAAGTGAAGAAGCCCATACAGCTGGAATATCCCCCATCTTTCTGCAGAACAATTATACCACCTAAACGAAAATGATGAATTGTAGAATTTGCTACAACTTAAAGCTTTCCTTCCTTCAAATGTGGCTGATTTGGTGCTGTTTGCCATTTATTTGATGTCTGTTTCCAAGATGCTTCTGTGTTTGTAAATCAAGTTGACCAGTCTTCTCGATATTTAAGGCTGTTCGCAGTGATGGGAAAAAAGCCCTGTCTGTCCCTATAAAAATTTGAAAGCAAGTATACAAGCTTATTTGTCTAATTTATTTTTCTCTTGGGCTCATTTCAGGTTTGATGGCAATTTTAACACTAACGTGTCTAGAACCATTAGCTGTGATAGATTGTCCACCACCGTGAGTAGCAGAGCATTCAATCCTGGGCGTGATTTAAATTCCGGTAGGTAAAGCATCTGTTTTGCAGAAGTTGCTGTATTTTACTACCAAATCTTCAGACCAAGTGCCATGGCAACCTAGTTTTACCCCCCCTCTAAACCCACTACATTGTTTTTCACTTAAGCTATAATGATAGAAAGTTGATTTCCTACAGTAATGGTTTTAATTATAGATTTATTTCAACATTCTATGTAAGAACTGTTGATGATTATAGCGAATTCTTTTCTCCCCTCTTTCATCTTCTATGACTGCTCTGCTATCAGTTATGTCAATTCCCAATAGCAAGAGTCCAAAATGCTTATGATCTCAGAACATTCTATCTAATGTGCAATTCTTCTACAGTCACCACCTTTAATTTTGATGTTTGAAGATGCCTTGAATCTTTTTTTTTTTTTTACTTCTTTGATACACCATGGGGTTTCTGTCATGAGAACAGATCCATTTGTTTGCTACTTTTTAAAAGAGGAAGGGTGGTCTTCCTGTTTAAGGCTGTAAGACTTTCACAAGGGATTCAACCTTTGGTTAATGTAGTCTTTACTTTTTGGCATTGCTTTCAAATGTAAATAATGGTTTTAATGTATTGTAAAGAGGGGACACTCTTTTTCATCTAATACTCTAGGTGATAGTTGTACCATGTTGCAACTTCTTTTCACTTAAAAAATCCTTTTTCTTTTCCCCATAAATGAAAATGAAGCAGAAGGCAGGATGGGGGCTGCTCAGATAAGATCAAAGCTGAAACTAAGATGTGTTAGGTTTGAGAGAATTCAATTTTCTTTACATTCCTGCTTTTACTGTGACTGATAGGGATGCTTATTTCTTACTTAGGATTTTTTTAAAAAAGACATTCTTGTGAAGATGGGCCCATTAGCAAATCAAATGGTGTTTCAATCTTGCTCTCTTTCCTTTTCTGCTTCCTGCTACCTGGACTATCCTTAATTCTTTCTTCAATGAAGGAAAATTAAGGTACCCTACAGCAGACTCTTTGATATGGAAACATCAAACTGCAGTAAAGTCATGCCCTGGCTTTAAAGTGCTTTGTTACCTTTTACTAGCTTCAGAAATGGTTATATCAACAGTAATGACTGAACATGAGAAGGGGTGGAGTTGATTATTGAAAATGGTTTGCTGGTAGATACCTCTCTGTGTCAGTTCCATTGTTTTTCATGATTCAGTATTAATATTTCCATGTCTGTTTTCAGCTGTAGTAGCCTGGTGCAGATTGTCAATCTAGCATAATCAAACTTTATAAATCAGATTGGAGAGAAAGAGGCGGGGGAGTGAGTGGGAGGGAGGGGGAGAGACAGAGACAGAGAGACAGACTCTAACTGAGTTAACACAAGTGTTCTTGAAACAGTCCCAAAAATAGATGTGCTTAACCGCTTATTAAGCCCAACCCACCAGGGATATCCTTCAAATAACACTTGCATAAGAAAAGTTCAAAAAGGTTTGCAACATCTGCATGCAAATAAAACTCCAAATGAGTCAGGGTTAAGTACATCCATTTTGCTCTAATTCTCCTGCTTCCAAAGCCTATAATATCTCATTGTAGAAGTTCTATGATGTAAAATGTTTGCCAGGGTATCAACTTTTTACATTCCTGGTTTTGGGAGTTGTACCTTAGTTTGTTTCAATGAAGCTTCAAAGGAAGCATTATGTTCCTATGAACCTGTTTTAGTGATCAGGGAGAAACGATGTAAGGACTCATCTTTTTGTTGTTCATGTTTGGAATTTGTTCTTTTCTGTATGTTTTGCCTTTGAGAAGGAAAGAAAATAATTTCCCCATTCTTCAATTAAGATAAAATATTAATACATGAAATCAGTAGGGAAAACATTGTCTACTTCTTGAATAATGTGGTCACTTTTCAAAGGATAGATTGTTTCTGAAAGTTAAACAGTCTTAGAAAGTTAATTGCTTTCTTCCTTATCTTTGGAAAATTCTGAGCTTTTCTCCTCTTTCCTTCAGCTAGTTTAGTTCATTTGCCTCCCCTTGGGAAAAACTACCAATTTTCTATAAAGCTGTGATTATTTTTCTATGACCACAATATACAATCTTTTGTGAGATAAGCAGGGACTATTTTAGCTGAGAAAAATATGCTTTCTTCCTCCCTTCAGGTGCACCTTTTAGCTCCAATCTCCTCAAACTACAAGAATTCCCCACAGAGATGCCTCACTTTCTTCCTTGGTGAAAACCCTAAGAGATGTGATTTAGGACTCAATTTTTCTTCATTGCACCTTCTTTAATCTTTAAAATGCAATCCTGAACTTTAATATCTTCCAATATCTACAACAAAACCAGTTTGAGGAGACATTCTTATATTCCCTAGAGACAGACAAAGGTGCTGTGAGCTAACTGTGTTTACAAGTTGTAACTATGTTTGTCAAGCTGCATTTTACTTCAAGAATCACTAACTGTGGTGTTTGATAAAACTGCTGTGATTTTTAGTTGTTATTTTATGCCAGATGATGTGAGAGCCTTGCAATAATTAATAAGCTAGAGGTTAAGCAAAGCAGATTTATTTTGTTTCTAGTGTTGGATGTTGTATAACAATATAGTGCAATAATATAGATTTTGCATGTAAATCTATCTGATAATATCTAATGACTGTCTTGTAGTCAGATTATTTCCAGGAAAAAAAAAATTCAAAACGTTTGAAGCCATAATTATGCCATTGGATTTAGATGTAGCTGTGCTGTAGAGTTGCAATGATAAGTTAAAGAGTTTACAAAAATCACGTGGAAATGATTTGTGGGCAAATAGAGTTCCTGTATTTTATGCCTAATTTTAGGAGTTCCTCATAATTGTTTTTGATCCTTTGTTTATTTTGTTTTTCCTTACTTCACTTTGAATAAATATTTATTGTCCTCTGCATGTGCAGTATATATTTACTGAATTATATCTTTAATTGATACTCTGGTGAAAAACGATGCTTACCAATTTGAGTCTCTAAATTATACAGGTAGTCCTTGAGTTATGAATGTAATGGCATCTGCCCATTCCATTCGTAACCTGAGGATTCGTGGGAGTGAATCTTGTACTTTGAATGGGATCACTCCCACCTTTCACCCATGTATTCGCTATTTGAATGTGAGGCTCGTTAAGTGCACATGAGGTATTTCATGGTGGCGAAGGCCATGGGGGCCTAGTGATGACACAGGCCACATGCCTAAAACCACCCAAGGCCACCCCGACCCTCTGAAATATCTCATGCTCCCCACAATTGCTTTTCCCCTCCACTAACCTGCTGAGGCAGGTCATTTACTGTGTGAAGATCTAGCAAGCAGTCTCCTTTCCAGGCTCTCAGCTGCATGTTCCCCTCAGACGTTCTGCTCAGGCCTCCAGAGGCTTCTCCTGGCAAGTTGCAGGCCAAATTGGAGGGGTGGATCTGAACAGCAGATCCACCCCTCCAATACTCCATTTCGGCCTGCAACATGCTGGGTGAGGCCTCTGGAGGCCTGAACAGCACATTGGAGGGACAGATCCATCACTCAGAAGCTCCATTTTGGCTGGCAACATTCAATATGAATGTTGCAGAGCCTTTGCAGTTGTTTGTAAGGGCGAATAACTACCACGGTGCTGCAAGATTCGTAGTTTCGGAATGTGTTCATAAACCCTAGGGGGCGCTTATCGTGTAACTTCAAACGTAAGGGAACACTCTTAACCTGGGGATTACTTGTATACAGTATATGTCCACCTATAGAAAATGGAGATATTGGTTAGGAACAAGTCCAGCAGCATCTAGAGCAGGTGTGTCCAACCTGTGGCTAACCCTGGACAACTGCTAATGTAGCTCTACAAGATAATACAAATATTAAAAGGTTTGTTATTGATGTATATTAACTATATTATATACTTTATATGCTGACAATTCCTTTTCACTCAATGTGGCCCAGTGAAGCCAAAAGACTGGTCAGTCATATTCTAGATCAGTGATGGCTAACCTTTCTGTCCTCTTGCGCCAAAAGTGCCCGTGCACACATGCGTGCGTGCACACGTGTGGCAGCACCCATAAGGCAATGCATGCCCCCTGCTCATGCGTGCGCATCTCCTGCACGCGCCCTGCCCCCACATATGCGCGGCAGCTGCCCGACGATCAGCTGGTGGGCAGGCAGCGCGCACACATGCACAGTGGACCTGCTCCAGGGCGATGGCTTACGTGCTGGCGGAGATAGTTCTGCATGCCACTTTCGGCACACGTGCAATAGGTTTGCCATCACGGTTCTAGAGTCTTCAGATTCAAAACATACTAGACACACAACTCTTTTTAAAATCTAAAAGAAAAAAAATGAACAGAAACAAAACTAAACTAAACAAAAAGATCAAAAAGAATATGAATGAAGAAAAACAAGGGACAAAAACACAACTTTTGTCCAGTCTGGAAATGCTGTAGAACTTTTATGAGCTTGGGACTATTGGGATTAGATAGGTTAAAACCGGCTAAAGTTAAGCCAAGTGAGATAAAATTGCTGCTTGTCTAGCATGTTTTGAGTTTAAATCTTTGATGATGCTTCCCATGAAGGAGCAAGTCCATAATCAGGACTCTCTCTAAACTCATAATAGAGATTGACAAAATCATGCACAAAATGATAGCAGTTCTTGCTTGCTATGCATTTAATTCATGGTGTGAAGAGAGAACCAAAGGTGAATCATGCATAATGACAGTTTTATGAAAATAATAACATTCAAAACATAAGGATAATACTTCCAAGACCCAAAGCATACTTAAACAGATAAAAATTCATCTTCAGGGCTAACCTGTACTAAAAACAGAGCATAATTTACTTGTTGCACAAGGTTACTTTGGTAAGTTATTCTTGAATATCAGTGTTGGGTGACATAGGCTGGAAAAAGCAGTCCCTGTACCATATTTCTACATCAGTGTTCTAGAAACAATCAAAAGGAGATAGTTCCTTTAGGAGAAAGATTCCATATTGGTAGCAGAAACACGAAAAGCTTAATTCAAAAGCAAATGGTTTTTACAAATGCATTTACACATGTATTTTTGTCTGAAATGAAATAGTATGCAGACATGGTCAAACACTGATTTAACAACCAGATTTAAATTTGAATCTGCTGCCAAAGAGCACATAAACAGCTTTAATAATACTGTTATCTTGTAATTAGCAAGCTTTGCAATACAGGTTGATTTCATATTCTAATAAATATGAATCTATCAAAAATATAAAAATCATTGAAGTGGAAGATTTATTCCTTGGGTGATCTGTTGCCTAATTTTCTCTATCCAAATCTATTGCAAAAGTCGAAGTCTGGATCATTATTGACTCTATGCCATTAGCTTTTATATCTAACACTGCCATAGGTTCTTTCCAGGTTTGAAATATACTTCAACATTGCCCTTTTGGTATAAGATTGAGACTCAGTTTTCATGTCTGATCTTCCATTGCTGGAGCTTTAATCTTATAGCAAGAACAAGCAAAAAAAAAATGGTGTGCAAATTCTTGCTGAGAATGCCTAATTTATAGCATTGTTGTAATTTAGGCTTTACATTCATGCATATTTAAATAAACATGTTTCATCTCCTGAATAGTTATGCCAAAAAGGATCCACCGGTCTTGCAAAACCAAAGCCAGTTAAATTATTATGATAAATATTCTATTGCTTAACTTTGTTGTATTTATCTTACAGTTAAACAACTGATGTTTTAGTATAATATAATACATGGGTTCCTTCATGTCGAGATAGTAGGTTACCAAGGATCATTTCATGTAATACTTGGGCAACATCATAGTTTGGCTTTGTAGACATATATATTTGCTTGCACAACACTGCACCAAATCCAATTCACACTGAGGACAAGACTTCCTGCCTTTGTTTTAAATGGGAAACTCTTTCATCTTTTAGAAGTCATTGAAAGGAAGAAGTTTAGGGTGTGTATGTGTTTTTACAAACCCCTCCCTTTCTCCAGCTTATTCTTTAAAATAATCTGCTGCACTGCAAAGTTTGCGTTGATCCAATGAATGACTAGATTTTTAGCCAGGAGGCTACTGAGCTTAGCAATGAAATAGTTCAGGCAGCTCTGTCAGCAAGATAAAGCTTTAGTCAGGGTTCAACAAAGCAATTCCTCCAACAGGCATATTTCTTGGAGAGCCCTGTTTTATAAGCCAGGAAGACCCAGAATGGCTTCTCATCTGATTAAGTTGGGCTATGGGGTTGTTGTATGCTTTCCAGTGATTATACTAGTGATAGTGCAAAACAGTAAGGAGCAGGTCATTAATTCTCTCATCCTGTGTGTTCTCTGATGACATAAAGCGGGGGGGGGGGGGCGCTAACGTTGGCAATTTTAAGACCTTCATTTCCCAGGATTCCTCAGGCAGGCATTCTGACTTGGGGATTTGGGGAGTTGGTCCACAGATCTTAAAGTTGCCGATGTTGGACATCTCTAACATAAAGAGTAAAGTAGCTAAGCGTCGAAAATGAGCTAGCTGGCTGCAGTTCCACTCAGTCAGGGGTGGGGAACTATGTCGCTTTTATGACTTGTGGACTTCTACTCTCAGAATTCCTGAGCTGGCTGGCTCAGGAATTCTGGGAGTTGAAGTCCACAAGTCATAAAGGGGCCATTGTTCCCCATCTCTACCCTAAGTAGTTCCACTAAGTTGCAGCAGAAGTACTGTTACTCCAGTTGTAGTTAACCTGCTGTAGAAACATAAAATAAACTATGTTTCCTTTATTAGCAGGCTTGGCATAGGGAATGTGCAGAAATATATAAGCAGACAGTACATGCTCTAATAAAACAATCATAAGTTTAACTAACTACAAAGTTTAGTTTTGTGGGTACTGCTTTCTGCTGAAATGATATAATGGAGAAGTGGTTATGTATTCTTTATCTCAGATAACTGCAGTCTCTTGGCATTTACTATCAGATCATCAGATCATAATCGTCATCTTTGAGAGAACACCTGGCTTCTGGTAATTCCAAAGAGGAGTGGGATGATACGAAAATTTTAGAAAAACCATTAGCACAAAAGAACTGGCAATTTTAGAATGATGATCTCATGGACGTGAAAGATTACTGAGGTTGAGCTGGCTGAAGGGTAGGAGGGAGGGAAGGTGCTGTGAAGATAGATGGGTGTGCAGGAAGACCTTGGACTGATGGGAAGGCACTGAGAAAATTGGTGGATGTGCAGGAAGATCAGATTTTGTGTTGTGGGAAGACTGGTGGCAGACTACTGAGAAGGTGGGAGGTGAAGTCCCAATGAATACTTTAATGTTTGTTCAAAAAAACATATGGATTTAATGGATACTGAGATGGGATACTGAGATGCCTAAAAAGGCATAATACTGAATTGTGTGAGAATCTTTGGTGTAATCACTACTTTTAGACCTGCCGGAGTCTAAACATATGTGTGTGTATCTAAATCAAGGTCTTTGCGATTTTCTTTTTTAGTCACTACTTTAAATATTTGGGAGTTCTTTTTTTAGAAGTCAGCGTTTAAAGGCCCTTTTAGCAGACTTTTTTTAAAAACACCTATTAAACATTATTACTTTGGGGATCAATAGTTTGTTTTAACCCTAGATGTACTGAGCATATAGGAATTCTGTTTGTAAACCTAATTTGTTTTTCTTTTATTATCATTCAGTCTAAGAAAGACTAAATAAACACGAATAAAGCTGGTATTTAAGTGGCAAAATGTATCCAACAGCTGTGTCTCATCCAGGCTCAAATATCAACTAAAATCATGTCTCACTCAATAAATTAAAAACCAAACCTTGAAAAGGTTCTGTTTGAATAATTAAGAATTTAGAAAATAAGTGAGAATGAGCAAGTAACCTGAACTTCAGTTTAGGATGAAATTCCCTAAAGCTTATATTACTTGCTTTGTTGCTTTAGTTCCTTGGATAAATTACTCTACATTTTTTCTGTACCTAACTTTGTAATTGTAAGATGAGAATAACATTGTCCCAAGTGTGCAATATGTGATTTTACATGAAAGGCGAAGAAAACTTCATCATATCTAACATCATTTTTATCTTTCTGTTTAAGAATGATATTTAATAGGTGCAGTTAATTTGAAGCTAAAATTCAAACCTTAAAACATGCCAGAAAGCCAATTTCTAGAGCTACATTCCCCTTTCATTTCAGCAAAGGAAACCCAAATCTTCTCCTTGTGGGAATTATTCTAGTGGAAAATATAAAGAAGTCGTCTGTTTCTAATGGATTTTTGACACCTGGAGAAAGAGTTATACTTGCGGAAAAGAAGAAACCTAACTATTTAAAATGGGAATGTGACAAAAGTGAGAAATGAATAAGAAACTTGATATAATATAAATATGGTTTGAACATAGATTTGAATTATTACCTACTCTTTAATGTACATTTAATGTTGTTTACAAAAGAGTTCCATTTTTATCATTTAGTAAACTAGCATAGGTATGATCTGTGAGATGTATGAAATGGAGCAAGTGGAAATATGAGGATATATTCCTACCATCTCAACTAGAGTATTCTTTCTGCAGAAGTAAGAAGTTAACCATTAGGGCAGGGGTGTCAACATCACGTCATGATAGCATCCTATGATGTATCAGAACTTTTTTCCCCCTTCGCTAAACCAGGTGTGGGCATGGCCAGCACATGACGTATCCAGCCCATGCCGGAAGTTTTGACAGCCCTGCATTAGGGTCTCAAACAGAATTTATTCCCTCATTCTCCCTCAAACAACTTATTTTCCAGCCAATATCAACTCTTGAACCCAGGGCTGCTGGGGAAAAGGCTGTATACTTTAGAATGAAATGATGGGATTAGAAGGCCTTCCTTTCTGCTATCTGTGAAGAACTCTCCTTAAGCCTGCTGATAATTAGCCACTTGCTTATTAGGTTCCTTACTTTGCCCTCTTCTTTCAGTAGCAAGACACCAAGTTGTCTTTTGGAAAGGCTGACTATGAAGTGATCAGTATCTACACAGCCATAGGAAGAAAAATGTGTAACTGTCAGCATGGACGGATCAAGGGCTGTATGAGCTGCAGAGGTCACCAGCATTTTACTGTTCCTCAACCATTTCTAAAATAGTCTTGACTGGAGAGCTTCCTTGTTCCTTTTTAACTCAACCAAATCCATTTCCCTTACAACTGTCTGCTCGTTAGTATTACAGCAAATTGAATTCTATAATAGCAGCACTGAAATAAGAGCGAATGATATAACCGCTCTTTGGAGGAACATTTTAATTCTAGTTCAGCAGCAGGAATTTAATTCCCTGTGTGTGTGTGTGTGTGTGTGTATGTGTGTGTGTGTGTGTGTGTGTGTGTGTGTGTGTGAGAGAGAGAGAGAGAGAGAGAGAGAGAGAGAGAATGTGTTTTGTTTTTTCTCATAAAGGTTTGTAAAGTTCCTATGCTTCACATATTAGCATAATATTATCTCCCTGTTATTTTAAAATACATGTTCTGTTATAATGGTATAAAATCTGAGATACAGTATATCAAAAATTTTCCTCCAAGAAAGTCCCTGATCTTCTTTATTTCATAGGATAATTTCCAGATTTGTTGGTTTATCTCAGTATTGTGTCTTGCAGATTTGAATGTAGCCTCTGGACCATAATATTTGCTGAAAATAATAACAGTAGGAGCTATGCACTGATTTTAATGAGGGCAACACTATTAAACACATTAAAATATTATTAAACCCATGAAAATAAAGTAGGCTTATGGTTAATGGCAATTGGGCTTTTACATACAGTACGTTCCTTATGAAAGTTATCTAGAGGTGGCATCATTTCAGACAGCCTGGTGCTATAATAAGAAAACTTTTAATCAAATAACATTTAAGGTTATTTTTTTCCTTTCCTTGTAATACTGTTAATTTCTTTTCTGTTTTATTATATTTTTAATAGTCCTTGCCGACAATTTGAAATCAAATCCTGGAATCAAATGGCAGTATTTTAGTTCAGAAGAAGGTATTTTTACCGTGTTTCCAGCTCACAAATTCCGATGTAAAGGCAATTATGAACACCGCAGCAGGTATGTTTTTGATGAATTCAGTATAAGCATTTTGGAGATAAAAATACTTTTATTAGTAATGTCATTCCAATAGAGAATTTAGATTCCAGGCATGTCAAATGACAAGATTAGCATAATGAACTCATTCATAGTGTAGCCTTCCATCATCTCCCAATTTAAAAAAACACAGATTTTTAAAAA